TTGGGGAGGCGGTTGTCCTCCATGCGCATAACGAAGCCCGCAAAACACAGCCTCCGTTTGCGCACGGTGGCCTCGATGGTTTCCTCGCAGCCGGCCTGGATGAGGGCCTGGGCGTAGGACAGGGGTCGGTCTGAGCGCTTCCGCTTGCTCCAGCCGATACACCGTGTCAGGAACTGGCGGTGGGTCCCATTCAGCTTGGTGTAGTGCTCCGCTGCCAGGCTCCACGAGGCGCACCCGTATAGGAGGGGTCTGCACCACTTCAGCCTGGAGTAGCCTAGTGGATAGCGCTAGTTCGTGTGTACACAGAGGGAAGAGAGTGCTGAACTCTTCTCGCATTAAAAATCGAAGGCAAAGTACCGCAGGAGGGGGGGGCAGAGAGGGCTCTTCTGTGTGACCACGGGTTGGAGTACACGGCACCAGTGCGGTGAGCGCTGATTTGAAGTGAAGACAAAAAAAAAAAAATGCTCAGGTTCCGCTGCTCCGGTGCCACTACTGTGGCCAGTCCTAGCACGACCAACTCGACCCGCTCCGCTTCGTACACGCTCTCGTTGCTGTCCTTCCCAGTCGTTCCTCGCGTTCTCCCTCGTTGCACTTAGGGTTCTTGGTCTGAAAATTCTCGCGCCGAAGGGTCAACCAGCCCAATCAGCTCGTCACCACCTGTCCCCTCCGCCTTTGATTGCAAAACCAGGTAACTGAGACAGCAGTACAGCTCCCTCTAGCAAACCTAGGGCAGTGTACATCGTGCCCGTCCACCTTCNCGGCACCAGTGCGGTGAGCGCTGATTTGAAGTGAAGACAAAAAAAAAAAAATGCTCAGGTTCCGCTGCTCCGGTGCCACTACTGTGGCCAGTCCTAGCACGACCAACTCGACCCGCTCCGCTTCGTACACGCTCTCGTTGCTGTCCTTGCCAGTCGTTCCTCGCGTTCTCCCTCGTTGCACTTAGGGTTCTTGGTCTGAAAATTCTCGCGCCGAAGGGTCAACCAGCCCAATCAGCTCGTCACCACCTGTCCCCTCCGCCTTTGATTGCAAAACCAGGTAACTGAGACAGCAGTACAGCTCCCTCTAGCAAACCTAGGGCAGTGTACATCGTGCCCGTCCACCTTCCTGATGACGTCTGCCTCCGCGCACAAAGATGAGATGGGCATTGCTGCATACACCGACGGCTTGGAGGCCCGCGCATCTGTACCTTCGTACCTGATGCACCAGCGCCGACCCAACTCCACCACTACGCACGCCTCGCGGCGGGTGCGCCGCAGCAGGAGGTATCGGTCCCTTCTAGCCCTGCTCGCTAGAAATACCCCCCCTCTGGCTCATGCCTACGCAATACCTTCCCGAGGCAGCGAGGGGAAGAAGGGGGGTGCGCAGATGTCGATCGAGATGTCTCGATATCGTTGTCAAATTATCAAACGTTCGGTTTCCCTCGTCTCACTTGATTGAGCACCTCGCCTTCGACTGCTGTGGTTATATCTCGAACGGGTAATCGTTCTGCTTTTTTCAGTGTAGATTTCTAGAGAAAGTAGTTAGAAAAGAGCCAGTTTGTCAGTTTCACGTTTCACGGAGATCCAAGCTTCGAGGCGTTACTTACGGGGCACGCAGGCTGGAAAGGCCACAGACGGACCGGAGATGAGCAAGAGGAGCGGAGATCACATGACCATGTACACTGCTGTCTGTCACATCGCGTCGATCGAGACCACGCATCGCGCCTATCCATAGATAGATTATCACAGCCGCGCAGTAACATGTCGAAGATCTACCTGCACTATGAAGGAGAGCGGGGGCCTGACCACACATTCATTTGGCGCAAGGCAGGCGGCCTGCCCTTCACTGGCCGCGATCTGGGCGAGGCTCTTTCGGGATTTGTCGAGAGCTACGGCAAGAAGCACGGCCGAGAGGCGTACAACCAAGGTGAGAAGGGGGACAGAGAGCCACGCGCGTAGGTGTGTGGGTTCGTGTACAGTGTGCAAAACGACCGGTTGTGCGGTGATGGTCTAACGTGGGAGTGTAAACGGTTTCCCACGAGAGTGGCGCCTTCGAGGTGGTGCACTGCTGTTGCTTGTGGAGAACTACTTTACTGCAGTCGCATCTCTCCGGCACGGCGCAACTGCTCCTATGTACTGGTACGTGATAATAGTAGAAACGCAGGAGACGATCTTGCATCACTGCCGCACGTCGTTGCTGCTCTTTGCACCTTTGCTGCGAGCTTCTTTGTCAACCGATACAGCGGTAAAAGATGTATCTGTGTGCGTACCGCGGCACAACACACATCACACCGCTTCGCACAGCAGTATCTATGTACATATGCCCTTATGCATTACTGCTGTACACAAGGATGCATTGCATGCATTACCCGTCCTCTTCGTTGTCTCGTGATCGAAGAGCATCATGGTGCAGATGCAGTCCTCCAGTATCGATCGATTTACTTAGGGTTAGGCTTCTTTTAATTATTTGAGGACAGCAGTTGTTCTGCACGACTGAAAAAAAAAAAAAAAAAACGGGGGAGGAACAAAAACTATCGGTCTACACAGAATCGTGACAGGCGTACATCCACCCAAGGCTAAAGGCTCACAGCAGTAGACTATTCCAGCAGCTATCTAGGGAAC